TCAAATTAAAAAAACAATATTCACTTATATCACCAAATTGAAAACCAAATAAAACAATAACCACATTATATTTTTATAAAACATGATTATTCAAGGCTATAATATGAATACACAAAAGTGTCTGAAAGTAGAAATTCAACAAAGTCAAACATTATACAAATCTAACAAGAAAGTTGTCAAGTGTTTCTAATAATTGTATTTTATGGATACTTTAGAGAAATACTGAAACAAAATATGAAAATATAAAATAAAATACTTATAGTATTAGAGTAAATTTGAAAGATACAATTATACTAAAATTGATAAAATATAAGTCATTAATTTGTTAAAATATATTTATTTTGTAAAAGTCTTTAAAAGTTGAAAAATATATTTTCAATTTTTTATTTTACTTTTCTTTCTTATTTTTAATCCAAATATTACGTGTCATGTGATATATTATTATAATATCACGTGACTTTTTATAATTAAAGAACAAAATGGATAACATATTTCATGAAAAAAAATAAAGGTCAAAATTAAATAAAAAAAACTTTAAAAACCAAAATGATAATGATGTATATTTAAATGAAAAAAATATTAAGCAACGGTAAAATTACGACAAACGACCTAATAAATTTAAGAACTACAATAGTTATAAGTAACATCATATTTATAAGTAATTTATTTTCATTTTCTATAAAATTATTTAAGTTTATTTTCTCTAAAAGTTTATAAATTTTAAATTAAACGGGTTTTAGCGGGTTTAACGGGTAGCCTGCGGTTATACCCATTAAACCCGCGGGTTTAACGATCCGGGCTAAAAAGCTCGCAATTTAAACGGTCTTCAATTTTTGAGGCACGAAATCTGCACGGGTCACGGGTTAAACGGGTAGCCCGCAGGCCTTAACCCATATACCCAGCTCTAGATGTGGGTTCTTGTTGTTCTGAAAATCCAAAAAAAAGACCTTTTGAGACACAAGAGTTAAGCCAACATATTTTTTCTTTTGAAAATCCCTTAATATGGTTCATTTTTCCTCGTTATACTAAGGCGTCACACGTGAGCGTTTCCCTCTAGCTGAGACTCGATGCTTGGGCTTGTGTAAGTGAATGGATGGGCACGTGGACCTGGACACACAGCTTCTAGGTGCTTGTATGGCACATGCATGCTTGCACTGCTACACTTGCAACTTGCAAGTGCATAAAATATTTGTTATATTATCATAATGATAATTATCAGTAAATAAATAAACACAATCAAAAAAAATAAAGAACATTAGGATTTTCGTGGAAAACTCAAAAGAGAAAAATTACGGATAGAGGAGAATGATTTTATTAATATGAAAAAAAAATAAAAAGATTTTGGTGAAAGAAAAGAATTTGATATCTAACTCTCACCTTTAGTATCTATTTATAAGAATATATACTTGATTACAAAAGAAAAATAAATAAAGTAGAAATTTACTTTAATAAAGTTTTCTATTTTTAATCAAATTGAGTTTCCTACTTTTCTAATATTTATATATTAATTAATTTGTGTCACTCTCAATTCGAGTCAAACTCTAACAAATCTCCACCTTGACACGAATTCTGAAAGTGCAAATGTTTCGAGATAAAACACTCAAATTCGATGTGACACCCAAACTCAACAAAAAATAATTCTTCATTTCAATGAACGAGTTCTCCACCTCTTCCACAACACCCCTCAAAGGAGTAATCTTCAGTAACAGACACCAATTAAGTCCAAACTTTTTATAGGTTTGGATTTAGTCTTCACATCGACATGATTATTAAGTGCCAACTTTTCTCACAAATGTTTCACCACAAGTAATATCATGCACAACACGATCCTTATGCTTTTCCTCATTCGTCCATTGTGTTACCGGCTTCTCATCAAATCTTTATATTACATCGTCGAGATCTAACTGTGCAAGAACATCCCAAACCTTCACCTGTTATAGTGAGAACTGATGCTTCGATCCAACAGAGGAATATCATACTTCATTGTTGTCATAATCTTGAACCCGAATCTCTGATACCAATTTTTTATAAAATCGAAACAATGTTTATAGACAAACAAGTAAACACGATCGAAAAAGAAAAACAAAGAACATCAAGATTTACGTGAAAACCCCAAAAAGGAAAATCCACGAGCAGATGAGAAGAATTTTACTAATATGAAAGAATAAAATACATGAGGATTTTGGTGAAAGAAAAGAACTTGATATCTAATCCTGACACTTAGTATCCATTTACAGGTATAGATACTTGATTACAAAATAAAATTAAATAAAGTAAAAATCTACTTTAATAAAGTTTTCTACTTTTTAACCAAAATGAGTTTCCTACCTTCTCAATATTTATATATTAATTAATTTATGTTTTTTTAGAATTCAAGTTAAATTCTAACAATATTGATACGAAAACATCTTCCTCTAATTCTGATGTTCCCTTGCTGTCATTGGTCAGATACGTTTTCCTCCTTTTTCTTTTGGGTTGAAATGTTACTTTTATCCTACAACTGTCTTGTTATGGTGTCTTTTCGATCCTGGAAAAAGCTATTGTCTCTTATCCTGGAGGTAGTTTAGGTTTGTGCCGGTATCTGAATTAAAATTTATTTGTTTGTAATGGAAGTATGTTTTTCCATGTATATTTACACCATGTTAGTGCCTAAATTGCTGGATTTTCATTTTACAGGAAGCTAATTGGAGCAAGGTATTTCACAAAGGCTATGCTGCTACGGTTGGCAAACTCAACTCGTCATTCGATACACCACGTGATAAAGAAGGTCATGGAACGCATACCTTATCGACTGCTGGAGGTAACATGGTACCCAAGGCAAGTGTTTTCGGCTTCGGTAAAGGAACCGCGAAAGGCGGATCGCCTAGAGCCAGAGTAGCAGCTTACAAGGTGTGCTGGCCACCGGTTTCCGGAAATGATGCTTCGATGCAGATATATTGGCAGCTTTTGATGTGGCCATTCACGATGGTGTCGATGTGCTGTCTGTGTCACTTGGAGGAGAACCCACTGCCTTCTTCAATGACAGCGTCGCGATTGGTTCTTTTCATGCTATCAAGCATGGAATTGTTGTGGTCTGCTCGGCTGGAAACTCAGGACCTGCTTATGGCACTGTCTCCAATATTGCACCATGGGAGATCACGGTCGGAGCCAGCACCATGGATAGGGTGTTTTCTAGTATCGTTGTCCTCGGCAACAGTATGCGCTTCAAGGTTACATTCCCCCTCCCTTCAAGTCTAGTTAGTGAAAATCAAATGGAAATTTGCGGAAGATGATAAATATCGTCGGACATAAGTCCCAATGCAGATCAGATACAAATAGAAAAATGAGTAGCAACATAAGTATCCAGTGCAATACAAAATTAAACACCAAAACAGAGAGGAATCAAACCACAACTTAAGATTGTTGGTTCGTAAAATGCTTGGAACTTATCAATACTTATTTCATTTCTGAAGGGACAAAGTTTATCAGATAAAGTTTTGCCAGGCAAGAAGCTCTTCCCACTTATTAGTGCAGTAGATGCTAAGTTGGCGAATGCATCGATTGAAACGCGTAAGGATAGAACACTTGTAAATAGTGGTACCTTGGTTTCAGTTATACCTACTGTTCTAACACACTTCATTCTGTATTATATGTATCTTTGCATGTTGATCTCTTCCTTACATGCATACAAACATGCTGATTTGCCTAGATTATGCAGAACATTGTGTCAGGCTGGTGCCATTGATCCTAAAAAGGCGACAGGAAAGATCCTGGTTTGTCTTCGAGGGCAGAATGCTAGAGTGGACAAGGGTGAGCAAGCAGCTCTGGCTGGTGCTGTTGGCATGATTCTTGCTAATAACAATCTCACAGGGAATGAAATTATCGCCGACGCTCATCTCCTTCCAGCTTCGCATATAAACTACACCAATGGTCTTGCAGTTTTCGCTTACATAAAATCAACAAAGTAAGTGTGAGAATCAGTAAATATATGCATTCAGTGAGCTTATATGACAATAGCATTATGAATTCACGGACTACATATGAACAGGCATCCCATGGCTCGTATTACACTCGTAACCACCCAAATTGGCACAAAGCCAGCCCCCTTCATGGCAGCATTTTCATCAAAGGGACCCAATACCATCACACCTGAGATCCTCAAGGTACTTGCTAGTAGCAGCTACAGTTTTTCATTTTTTCCCCTTACTATTTCTTCTGCTAAAATGGATCTGATACTCTGTACTATGCATTCTATATCCAGCCGGATATCACTGCACCAGGAGTGAGTGTAATAGCTGCCTATACAGGAGCAGAAGGCCAACGAATCAAGATTTCGATAAGCGCCGAGTTCAGTTCAACTCTGTATCCGGCACTTCGATGTCATGTCCTCATGTTTCAGGAATTGTTGGCCTTCTTAAATCCCTTTATCCTAAGTGGAGTCCTGCAGCAATCATACATCGAAGCCGGACCATTCAACTACGGAGCAGGACATGTACAACCAAACCGTGCTATGGATCCGGGACTCGTTTACGACTTAACCTCCAAGGATTACCTAAAGTTTCTGTGCACATTGGGGTACAACGAAACACTAATATCAGCATTCTTGCAGGAACCCTACGAGTGCCGCGGTTCAATCAGTCTTGCCAACTTCAACTACCCTTCAATCACCATCCCTAAACTCGTTGGATCCATTACAGTGACTAGGACTGTTAAGAATGTAGGACCACCAGGCACTTACAGAGCTCAAGTGCGGAAACCGATGGGGATATCGGTTTATGTTAAGCCGAGAAAACTGAAGTTCAAAAAGGTTGGTGAAGAAAAGACATTCAAGGTTAACCTGAAAGTTAAGAAAGCTGATGCAGTCGAGGAATATGTATATGGGCAGTTGATATGGTCAGATGGTATACACTATGTAAGGAGTCCTATAGTAGTGAAGGCAGCCTAAACTATAAAAGGTTTGCTTAAAAAATAGCTTTAAGTTTAAATCCCTGGATTCAATCCTATATGTATTTGCTTTTGGCATGGCCTTCAATGTGTTCTATATATTCTTCAGGGCCCTTGCTGTAATATTTGGCTAAAACAATAATTATTGGCAAAAAAAATGAAATCCAGTTTGATTAATGAGACATTTCTCTATCTTTCCTTTCCTTTTCTGAAATACATTGGGTTAGTCCTTAAACGAACCGAACGTTCAGCGAAACGTTCGTGAACTGTTCGACGGGAAGTTCGTTTATGTTTGTTTATTTATTAAAAGAATTAACATGAACAAGATTTTGTATTCTTTTAATTAAATGAACGAACACGAATAGAATGCTCGTTATTTCATTTACGTTCGTGAACGTTTGGTAATATGGTCATTATGTTCATTTATGTTTGTTTCTTTTCTTTCGTTTATGTTTTGTGCGTTTATTTATATTTAACCCAATCTCTCTAGACCCATTTAAAATATTAAGACCAATAAATTTTAATATGATACCCATTAATATTTTAAAATTCAATTAATTTTAAATACAAATAAAAAAACCCTAAATAATTAAATAAAATATAATCCCAAAATTATTAGGAAAGAAGAAAAATTTATTTTCATTTATGTTCGTTTACGTTCCTTTATAATCGTTTATGTTTATTTATTGTGTTCGTTTGCATTCGTTTATTATGTTCGTTTATGTTAGTTTATATCCGTTCGTTTATGTTCGTTCGTTTGTATTCATTATCATTTAAATGAACAAACACAAACAACTTACATTTTTAACGAACGAGCACGAAAATAAATTTTTTGTTCGTTTATATTCGTGTTAATTCATTTGTTCGATTAAAATTAAACGAACGAACATGAACATACCTCGTTCGGATAGTTATAAGCCTACATTAGCTTAATGTTTCCGTTTTAACAAAGATTTATTCGGATAAAAATGGAAAGGCTTTGTTTGTACGATTTCAAATTTTACTAGACTATATGTTTAGTACCTAATTTTTTTTTTCTGTATTAGTACTCATATTTTATTGAAGTTTAACTTTTTTAAATTTAAACACTTAACTTTCAAACTACTCATATTTTACATTCTAATTTATATTACTAACATTTACTCTAACTTATATCATCGATATTTTCTATGATGTGACATCTTTTAATTATTATTTTATTAAAAATGATTAAAATGAAAAAGAAAATAAATTGAGAAATTTGTGATTTAGGGTTTATGGCATATTTTTAGTTTGTGTATAGTTTTATTTTTATTTTAATTATATATTAACAAATAATAAAAAATTCATGACTTTTATTTTTATTTTAATTATATATTAACAAATAATAAAAAATTCATGACACAAATAATATTAATAAAATAAATTAGGGTGATTAAAACATGATCAATTTGAAAGCTGAAACAATGTCATGATTTTATAACAGTATTTAATCATTGGAATAACTAAATTGATATGATATATATATATATATATATATATATATATATATATCAATGAAAAAAAAGAATTTATTTGTGCTGCTGGTATCAAACTCCAAAAAAAATGACAAAGTTAATTTTATAATTTCAATAAAAATAAAAAAGTAAATTAAATTGAATAATAATATTTTAAAATTAAATATAACTTAATTAAATTTTAAAAAAATCAATTTAGTCTATTAATCATGTCACCATGTCACAATATCATATACTATCACATTACTATTATATATTGTCATGTCAACATCATAAATTATGACGTTAATATTATTAAGTGTTACATCAATATGATCTAAAACAAAAATTGTTAACCGAAAGTACATGAACATAAGATAGTCTCTTATCTAATAATAATAATAATAATAATTCTTTCCCATCAAGTTCACTCTTTACTGCTTTTGTGACGTTATACCATTGAATCCATGATAATCTGTTCTCATTTTCTTCATTCAGACTGATGCTGACAGGGAGTTACTTGCTGCAAAGGGCAGCGTTCCAGTTGGTATTGGAAAGAATTCACACATCAAGAGAGCCATTATTGACAAGAATGCTCGAATTGGTGCCAATGTGAAGGTATTTTTTTATTTTAATTTAGATGAATTTACTATGGTTTATTTATAGTCTAACTAGTCATTAAACTCTTGGAAAGAGATACGAGTTTCACTGATTACTAGTTAAATTCTCACCTTGGTATTGCTTCTCTGCTTGGAACTTCGCCGGAATAAAAAAAAAAAACTCTCTCCTATTCTCCGTCTCTTGATTTGGATCGCTTTTTACCTTTCTGATGAAATTGTTTGTCAGTACAAAGTTCTTAATTGAATGAGTTCCATTGCTAAACAACTTTCAAGAACATGTAATCCCATGCAGTTGATCCATGTTTTTTGGATTTTCATGGTTAAACAGTTGACAACTAATTTCGCTCTTTTTCAGATCATTAACAGTGACAATGTACAAGAAGCAACAAGGGAAACGGACGGATATTTCATTAAGAGTGGGATTGTGACAGTAATCAAGGATGCCTTGATTCCCAGTGGAACTGTAATCTGAGGAAGTTTGCTGCTAAGTAGTACAGGCACCGTTCCATTGGTTATTCTCGAGAAAGTAAATGCAAAGGCATGTTACTTGCACCAGCTTTTCTCTTTTATTTGTAGTAATTTCCAAATGTGATGTATATTTTTAGGCAGTATAGTAATATTTAAACGTTCAAGAACTGGCAGATTGGCCAAAATTTTCTACCTTGGAGGTCTCTGTCAACCTTATCCGCTGGTGGTGAAGAGCTAACCTGTAGTTTTCAAAAGTCAGTTCAGATGTCAAATTATTGTACGAACCAAGCGATTTCAATAGTTACAAGAATGATTTGTTATCTCTAGAGGTCATGGGTTTGAGTATGACGTTTGCAAAGGTGTTTGAGCGTACATTGTCAAATTGTTAAAGTCTTTCTAACAAATGCTACCTTATAATCACACCACATACGAATAAAAAACTATAAATTATAAATATGATTTATATATTCAACGAAAATTATATAGATCTCTTGAAAATAATTGTAGCATATGAAAATATATTAACTTGACAATATTAATAGAATAAATTAATTGCATATCATGCACAATTGGTTATTATTCTAGTACGGTTGTGTCCATTGTGGAGGGTTCCCGGCAGGAGGATCTGGTTTGATCAGACTCTGCCTTAGCCATTATTCCGCATCAGTGACGCCCACATCGGGCTACGGTTCTTTGAATCTTTCCCGGAGGATGTCCTTGCCCCAAACTCCGACGTGCGCAACTTAAACGGAATATATTTTCTATCATTAGGTGTTCAAAGGACAATCATCGTAAACATTTGATGCAAATTGAAGTCGCCTGAACTACAATAAGGAATTAAGCATAGAGAAAAGAGAAATAGCAAACCAAAGACTGGATAGCTAAGAAAGTAGGGATTCCTGCTTCAGCTAACGGGAGTCAGGGACCCTGAACTCGCCATTGATAAGCAGTTGTAATCCTTTAGTACAAGGAAATTATAGTTGATCCATGTTTTGATATTAAATGAGCCGAGACATTGTTATCATTTCATGTAATTTCAAGCAGAAAGAATACAAGAAGGAAAGCGTTTTCCAGCAGCATCTGGGTATTACATAACATATACAAAAAAGAATATATCAATTGCAGGTCCTTTGTCTTTTTGCTGTACGTATATATTGATTAAATCTTTGGTACTGCAGCTGATGCAGGAGTATGAGTTGTAATTAAACATAGAAGTAGGTGGATGCATCCGTTGCATTAGCCGGTTCTCTGCAGAGGATAGACCGAGCTTCGATTACCGACCGAGGCGGCTCAACATCTTTTTCTTGGAGCAGATTTCCTTGCAGCCTCTGCATTTGGGATGCAAAGGTATCATCCAGTATCTACAAAGGATAAAACATAGGAATGTTAAACCATAACCACTGCAAATCCGGACTATTCTGTGTAGAACTCATCGGAATCCGACAATTACCTGAGTCCATGTAATATATCAGCGTTAAGAAAAGACATTGTTTGGAAATAATCTTTCATAAGCATGAACAAGTAGAAGAGTCAATTTGGTTATTGTCAAGTGGTGTCAAGTAGATGACTTACCCCAAGAGCGAAGTATGATCCATTATACCACACTCGGTTTTCCTTCCTTCCTTCGAGGAATTTCAGTACGATCTGGTAAAATTAGTGAATCGAAAAACATGTCAGAAACAAGACAAATCTAAGTTAAAAAGGATCTAAAAGTTTCTCATTCACCTGTCCCATCCTATCCCAAAATCCACGGCAGGTTGCTACAAATATCCAACTTGTGAAGACCTCATGTAGGTTAGATATAGAGTCTATCAGTTGTGAACTCAGCATCTGCATTCGCTCGCGGATCTCAGCCTCTCCATCCTCTTCCTTTATTTCCTCAAGTATCCTTTTCAGTCTCGTATTTCGATTAGCTTGAGTCTGAAACAGTCATTAAGCACTAATTTTAATAGTTTTTTTAGGATGAAATGCTCTCAAGGATGAACTTGGAACAAAGTTGCATTTTCTATTAACTTGGACGATCATAGTTGAGTGAGAACTAATTAAATAGGACTTGCATTGTTAACAAGCTTCTCCACCGTTGCCTGCAAATAATTTTTGTACTTCGTTCTCAACATGACAGTTATCCCATTCATCTGCTCTCCAAACAGAGACTTCTTTTCCCCGGTGAGAGGCAGACAGGATGCCCAAGACTCTAAGATCTCCTCCACTCTACAATGCAATACATCAAGAATTCTCTTGACAGTGTTGAGGAATATTCCTAACTGTCACCATTAACAACTAAATTAGGATATGCAAGAACTATATTCACTGCTGACCCAATGGACTGGAGTTCAATTATATTGATTACAGTGCACTTACTTGGCTGGGAACTGAGTATAGAGCTGTCGACTGCCTTCGTGTCAGCTTCTGAACGTGCATATTAAGTCTTTTTGGAATACTATCTTTCAAAGGAGTCAAGATATCATTATATTGTTTCTCCAGTGCTTTAACAATGGCTCTTTCCACATTGGCAACAGCCTTCACATTTAACCAAAATTATGCAACAGTCAGTAGATGGGAAAATGACACAAACATGTTCAAAGACAAAAACTGCAAGAGAGTGTTAGAAATTACATTTTCCAAGACCAACGAGTACTGAGGCCACCGATTGATAACAACTTCATAACCAATAAGGGAATCTTTTATCTTCTCGTACATTTCTTCAGCAAAAGGTGAGGTTGAATGGTTTATTGTTACTCCAGACCAGGGCAGCTGATTATGTTCCAAAGTTCAAGGTAAGCTATTCCAGATCCTTGATAATAAATGCACTTGATTTACGTTCCCAAAGAAGAATATTTGTTTTTCGCTTCTTTAAATATCATCCTATTTATATCAGATTAAGTAAAACTTATGAAAAAGGCCAAGTAATACCTTTTCAGCCTTGCAAAGATCGAGTAACCTAAGCTGCATATCCTCCACCCACACCATTATGTAATCGTGGAACAAACTCCTCGAGTCTACTCCACCCTCCACAGGACTGAAACAGGACAAGATAATGTGCAAGGAAGAGAGCTTCAACTCTATGTTTCAGGTCATAATCCAAATTTAGATACTCATACAAGATCTACTGACCATTTCTTGTCAAAATTAAAGTACTTTATTATAGCATATGAAGGGATTTCAAATAAAATTTCTTTCACAAACCTGATGTTCCATGACTCAAGATCCCTCTCGAAATCCGCAATTGCAATCAAAAGTTCATTAACATGTGGTGCGGGACAAGATGGAGGCGATGCAGCAAGGAAACCAGTAAGCCTCTTACACAACTCAGTGCTATATACTGCAGCCGTGATGTTTGACAGGTCAATCGAACTGGAGAAGAAGCATATATGTCAGAAGGCATTATACAATCAGTTCATAAGTATATATTTAAGAAGTTTGAAGTGGAGATTTTTACAACTTAAGACCCATATAAATTTATCTTCCTATATAAATTTGAATTTAGTCGCTAGTTCTTTTTGTCTAAAGTTTCTATTAACTAAAAGGTAAAACAAATAAGCTAACCGATTTTTAGCATATAACCGGTTAAGTATCTCACATGTTGGTCTTTTCATAAAAAAAAGAGTATGCCATTACCTGGGCAGTATGTGCTGATTGTGGATTTTGATGTCTGCCTGAATTTCTTTGCTAAAATTTAAACACAGATTCTTCATCTTCGGATAAGCTGTTGAAATGGTAATGGGGTCCAAGAGAAAACCTTCAGAATTGCTTGAAACAAACTCATCAGTTTCAATCATGTGTTTCCTACATCTTTTTTTGGCTGCAGTCTGCAAAACGTTATCATCACTAGCATTATTTAGTTGCTTATATGATTTTAATAAAATGAGAGTTGGAGGGGATTTCTCATTAATGCATGCATGGCAATATTTCCTTTCTATTGAATACATATACCTTCAGAATTGCTTGAAACAAACTCATCAGTTTCAATCATGTGTTTCCTACATCTTTTTTTGGCTGCAGTCTGCAAAACGTTATCATCACTAGCATTATTTAGTTGCTCACTAGCATATTTAGTTGCTTATATGATTTTAATAAAATGAGAGTTGGAGGGGATTTCTCATTAATGCATGCATGGCAATATTTCCTTTCTATTGAATACATATATAGTAATTTTAATGCATTTAATGAATCAAACAAGTTAACAGGTCCAAAAGAATGCTTGGCTTGCTGAGGATCGCATCACATTGTCCAAATTATGGCAATTAATATATTCTGTGTGATTGACTTATTTAGTCATTGCTGAAGAATTGCAACTACCTGCAAATAGTTTCTCAGCATAGTCTGAGCATCTGGAGATAGTATATCATGAAGCAGAGTGTATACTTGAACAGCAGGAGCTAAAGCTGGTGCTGCAGCAGTCTCCTGGGTTGGTCCAAACAAGTTGGCCAGGCCTGTCGGAGATTTCTCATCCAAAGACTTGTAATTTTCAAAAGCATTTGCCAAAAGGCTCTCAATTTGTGTTTCACAACCCAGTAGTATGCTTTTCTGCAAGAGAGCATGCAGATGAGTCATCTCAGTGAAGCATTTAGATCATGTACAAATTTCTGAAGCATAAAAATATGGAACACTTCTCATTTCAGAATGAATGGAAGCCATACTTCCGAAATTAGGAAATCCATTGGTATTTAAATTTGTGGTATACAAAATAGTGATATGTTTTTATTCTCCAAACTTAAGCATTCAAGGTCAAATAAATCAACGCAAGAGATTATAATCATTTATGTCAATAAAAGCTTTTGAAACTTAAATATAATTTAGCATTATTTTTAACACAATTGATGCTTCAAAAGCACCTCTCTTATCATTTTAAAAGAAAATATGAAGCAATCTATAACCAGAGATACCCACCTCCTGTCTTGTCAAGCTTTTTTCATTCCTGGCCTTTAAAATGGGTACAAGCAACTCATTTACAAGTTCTAAGCAATCTTTTGTTGGTGTGGCTACATTCATGACATGTAATAGATATCTACGAGAAAAAAAGGAGTTAAAGCATAGCAAGGAAATAGCAAGGAGTATATGAATAAGTAGAATTG